GGATTTTGTTCATTTTCGGTTGTTCCTTCTTTTTGACATGGAAAAATCTCTTTTTTTACAAAGATTTTTGGGAAAATTACATACATATCCGTTATAGTTTCCGTTATTACGACTCTACCGAACAGTTTCCGTTATTACCACCGTGTCCTTTTTTCATTTCAAAACGAAATTTTAAAAGAAGACGGCTTTTCCCTTTTTCGGTTGTTAAACAACCGAATTCAAAGTATTTTCGGTTGTTACACCAATTCCGGTTCTTGAATAACCGAAAAATGTTTTCTCTCTCTTGTGACGTATTTTCTCTACCTCTCTCAAGTCATAATTATCCGATAAAATCAAAGGGGAACAACTAGTTTGAGCCCCTAAATGTAGGAGAAATCTTAGGGATTATAAGATTAGAAGATTAGGAGAAATCTTGCGGCGTATTCTCTCTTTACCTCTTTATCCGATAAAACCAGGGGGAACAGCTAGTTTGAGCCTCTAAATTTAAGAGAAATCTCAAGGATTATAAACTTACCCAAAAGAAAAAAAAGATGCTCGCTGAAGGGTAGAGAGAGTTAAAAAAAAAAATCATTTTTACCCATGTAATGTAGAGAGAGAGGTAAAGAGAGGATACGTAGACCCACAAGAGATAAAAAAAAATTTGGTTATTGAAGAACCAAAAATTTAAAATTTTCGGTTATTCAAGAACCAAAATTGGTGTATTTTCAGTTGTTGAACAACCAAAAATATTTTGAATTCGGTTGTTCAACAACCGAAAAAGGGTAACGTCGTCTTTTTTAAAATTTCCGTTTTGACATGAAAAAAACGGACACAGTGGTAATAACATAAACTATTTGGTAGAGTCATAATAACGGAAACTATAACGAATATGTATGTAATTTTCCCAATATTTTTTGGTTGTTTAATCCTTAGATGCATCTATGCAAAATTGAACTATGGAAATTGTTCCATAGTTAATATCTTGTGTGTCTTTTAGCATTTTCAGTTTTCCTTTATATTGATATTTGATATGAATAATCAATTTGTTTGTTGTTCAATATTTAAAATACTTCATTTGAATAATCAGTAATTTTCTGGATAAGTTTGCAATTTTAATGTTCTATCGTGTAAATTTCTATAAATAAAGATAGGGCTTTCTAATTTTAATACAAACTTCAACTTATCTCTATTTTTTCAATATATATATATTTTCCCTTTTTTTTTTTCCAATCTGACTAATGAACAAATCTTGTTCCACTAATCCACCAAGACCAGCACGACGAGTTCAATGCCCATCCAATCCTGGTAACATTGATCGCAACTAAGTGCTTGGGGTGATCTTAAGATGAATGCGAGAATGGATGCATAAAAGAACTCAAGACAACTTCAAAAAACACTCTGACACGGTACGTCCTTGTACAGAGCTTTATTCATTTCTTAATCAGAAGTTTCTAGGTACCTATAGTGACCTTGTTAATTACATTCACTATCTCATACAACGGAGAAGTGAAAAACCTTTGTTTAATCGATCACATATGGATTTAATACAAAATACATCCTTTGCATATGAAGTATCTGCTATGCTTTCGTACTACCGTCTAGGTATGAATCTCAGTTTGTTTGTATGCCTATGCATATCTCTCCCCTTTCCCCCAGGTGTTCATGCTCTTTTACAGGCTATTGAGCACGGTTGGTAGTTTCGGGAGTAGTGGTGGTAGTGGTCGACGTGTTAAGTTTACTATGTGACACGTAGGCCCTGCACGATCGTCACATTCCTGGTTCTGGAATGTCCATCCCATTTCGAATGTATACCACATCATACCTTATCTAGTACGACATTCTAGAAGGATATAATGTTTCCATCAGGAGTGACTTGAGGGAAAGGGCTTATATTTCTATTTTGCCCCTCCAGCAAGTATAAAGTTATTTAATCCGGAATGTGTTCCCATCGCACCGGTCCTCATGATTTAGGAAAATGACAAAAGGGATTTTTTGTCAATAATAAACCTTGAGATGAATAAATTTTTGGATAAGTGTTGTATGAGCATGCGTCAAAGCGCAGTATAAAGAAGTGTGGATTCACCGGAAATATTTGTAAAGGGTAAATCAAATGTCAATGATGCAAACTAGGGCGTCATCTTTTTAGACGTTATCCTTTAATAGCGCCAAAATATTGAACTTTGTTTATGTACCCTCAACACTTTGTCCGAATCTAGCACTTGTCGTGATTGACCTAAGCAAGAAATGAGTTTTCTCAAGAATATTTTATGACGAGAGTTTAGGTTATGTTAAAAACATATCCAAACTCTAAGACCTGGTTAACAAACAGAAGTCCTTGTGTGCAACCCAACTTCTATGATACCATCCAGTCCTATAGTCTTGATGGTAGAGCTCTGACGCACTGACATTTTGACGCAAAGATATTTAATCGAAAGGAAAAAGCAAAGCGCAGACATTCATTGCCTCTACTGTAATTAAAAAACATTCTCAGAAGGATTTCGCAGAAGCATGCCTTCCCACGATGAAAACCATCATTTAGTTGTATAAATCATGCCATATAGAAGCTTCAAACTTTTGTGACTACAACTACGAACCATTCGGCAATTTATGTTTAACAACAATTTATGATATTTCCAAAACATAAAGAAGTCAACCACAAGCCAGAAATGAAACACAGGAAAGAAGCAATATAAACTCAAAAAAAAACATTATGACAACTCATTCATCATGTATTGCACAACAAAGAAAAACATAATGAAAGGGAAGAAAATCTGCCCATTTATTCCTGTCATATACCATCCAGAAGAATTATTTAAAGTGGAAAAATGTCAGTACATGTTGTGAAGATAGAAAATCACAACCATTTTAATGATACTGCAGGCAAGAAGTGGGGTAATAATGCACAAATAAAACATTGCATAAGTGATTCTCATAATGCTTATTATGTACCCGTATATAGGACCAGTAAAAGTATCCTAAACATTCCAAAGGAACACCAACCATCAGAATGAGTAATGCACATCTTGGAAGTGCAATAAACTTAAACCACCACATACAGTTATGATATACTTTTTAATATACTATTATCTGAAGGAATAGGAGTAACAAGCTTTTCAAGAACAATGCACTTCACTAACTACTGTAGTGAAGAATAAGCATTAACCCTCACCAAAAGAACTGGAATACTTGTTTGTTTAGCAAAGCGCAATAAAGCTGATGTACACTCCTTCACCTGTCAGATAACAACATATAAGAGAATGAAACACAGTCGAAAAGATTGAATTTCATGAAAGAAGAAAAAAAAGAAATTGTTTCTCACAAAAAAATGGCATTTCTACCCAAAATAGAATAGAGGAGACCACAACCTCTAGGGGAAATATTCTAATCACACAAATGAAAGCAAAAAGAGGGAAGTGAACTTGGGCGAATTGTCCATTTTTTCCGATGACCACTTGATCAGTAAAAACTATCATTAAGCCAAAAGGCCCCTATACCAATTCAAAAGAAATTTCATTTACACACGTTACAGAATGATTTATTTGTATTTCGAATATTCAATAAATAAAAGATGAGAAACCCTCCTTCATAAATTTGCTAGACATGAAGAATATCAGTTCATCATTAACTGGGAATAGCTACAACAATAGATATATATGAACTGTTCATCTATAATTAGGGCTGTTAACGGGGTTGGGTTTGGACTGGACCAGCCCTGGCCCAAGCCCCACACAAAGAAGTGCATGGTAGGCCCAGGCTCGAAAATTTTGTTCCGGACCCACCCAAATTCATGATAACTAGGCCCGAGCCCAGTCCAGGACCACAAAAAAGGGTCCAAGTTGGGCCCGACCCAATATAAATATGGAAAAAATTTATTTCCTATATGTCATATACCCAAAAGGTTTTGGGCCAAGCTCTGGCAGCCCAGTCCGGCCCTGAAATATTTCAGGCCTCCCAAGCCTGGCGACCCACCCTGTGGGCCTTAACCTCTGGCTCAAACTCCAAACGAAAGCCCAAGTGCCAGCCCAGGCCCATTAACAGCCCTATCTACAATCGACAATGATGTAGATCCCACTACCTCTAAACAAAGCACGAGAACTTCAAAGGGTATCCTTAAAACAAAGATAAAAATATAATAACAATAAGATACAAAACTCTTTTACCACGAAACCCCCAACAAGAAGAGAAAGCTCATAGGCATCCCAAGCTTCCTTTCAAACAACTCCTTAGGCATCACAGTAAGGAAAATTTGTCAAGAAAGCCAAAAAGAGGAAAAAAGATCAACAAATTTCATACATCTAGCAAACGCTCTTCTAGATATGATAAAAAACATTGTGCACCAAACAAATGCTGTACACTTGCAAAGGGGCCTCCATGAGATGGATCTCAAAGCAAAGCAAACCTCACCGTCCCCATGAAGCACCTTACGCCTAATTCCTGATAGGGATAACTCATACTGCCATACCTCTATATACCATAGAGACCCTAGAAGATCAACCCAATCCTCTAACCCCGTACTCCTCAGTCATCCCTGTCCCTCCCACACTAACTTCTTATGACCTAAAACAAATGGCCATCTCCCACCAAAGTGAAGCAGCACCACCACCACCAACCCAAAAGAGCTTGCTGAGAAAGTGTAACATTCTCATTCTCAACCCTCCAAGAGAACCTTGTGCTTCCAAACCATTGTTCATTTCACCAGTCATAAGTCCTTATGAAGGAAAACGCTTGAGTTTTTGTTTTCTAGCGTCTCAGTGACCACAGTTGGAATCTAAAAGAGGGACTTGAAATAAATAGAGATGCAGCTAAGAGTGGGCCTATCATGGCAGGTAACTGTGCACGCCTAGCTTCGCAAGAACAAAAAGCCTTTGTTTTCGAGGGCAATAAGCACAATGCCAACTGCAGAAGAGAATAAAAACTGTAACTTACAAAGCCCTTCTCATTCATTAACCCCCATAAAAACAATTACAATCAAACACCACTTATCCACTTGAAACCGATCAGCATGACAAAAGAGGGTGTCATGTATGAATTAGAGATGAGAAGTCATTGGGCTTCAAGTAGAAACTAAAAAACGAGCAAAGAGACCAATTTGAGCTACTTTGTCAACAAGACTCAAAACTGCCCCACAAGAGCAAATAAAAGGTCAAAACCCAGCACAGAGTAACAATTCCGCTTGTAGACAAAATGTGACCTATCAGATTATATTATCTTAATGTTGCAATTAAAGGATGGTATTGACACCAAATGGAGACTAGAGACCAATGTTCTTCTAGTAACAATTCCGCTTGTAGACAAAATGTGACCTATTAGATTATCTTATCTTAATGTTGCAATTAAAGGATGGTATAGCCAAAATACCATCTATCATATTCATCCCCTCTATTGTTGAATTAACATGTTTCACTCTGAACCATCCAGTACAATTCATCCCCATAAGAGTGAAATTCTAGCACTGGGACCGGCTGGATATTGTGCTTACTTAAAACCAGACAAGCATTGTTTTCTTGTTCTTTACAACATTTCAAAGCCGAGGCTTTTAAAAGGAGTAAGGCACCCCCTGGTAGGATACTACATACCTGAACCCCTCATTGAGAAAGAGAGGATTATTTAATGAGAGACAGACTGGTTAAACAGAGAAGGAGAATTGGTCAAAGAGAGAGAGAACACAAACACACCCACAATCCCCCCCCCCCCCATTTTCAAGAGAGAGAGAGGACTGCTTCAATAGAAAGAGATGGAGAGAGAGTTAGAAGAATAATACATGCCCACACACATCAAAGCAAACACACATACACAACATAAATCTTTTTTTTTTTGGCCAGGGGAGTTATTTAGCAAGAGAGAGAGAGAGGAACAAAACACATACAAACAGAAAATATTTGAAGGAGAACAAGAAACGACTGATTCAATAGAGAAAACATTTGAAGGGAGAGAGAGAGAAAGGGAGAGAAGGAACAACACGCGCACACACACAAAAACAACACAGCAAACACTCAAACCGAGACACACAGAGAGACCACAATGCACATGCACATGCGTGCGCTAGCACAAACACGAAGCAAGCAAGGCTGGCTCCTTGGCCAGGGCGCCAGCCTTCTAGGGAACTGCGTAGGGCAGTCTGCCCAGACCTAGATGGGCCACTGAGGCCCTTCAGTGCCTTAAGGCGCCGCCTAGGCACCCAAGGCTAACAAGACTTCAATATACTGTTCAAAACAAATCGTGAACTGGCAATTTCAGCCAAAACTGTCGCGGAAATTAAGTAACTCAAATCACTTATTCAGATACAGCGTGATTGTATGAAATTGAACATGTTTTCCCATTCATCTCTCAGCATGCACTGAAAAAATATAATGGTCCAAAAAGACCGAATACCCCAATGAGAATGAAATTATTCCATCCAGGCACAATGACTGACATAACCACATCTCTAGTCCAACTAAGCAATACTTCAACCTCAAAGATTAGGAAGAATGTAGAGTATGTAACCTGGCTTATGTTCCCTGCACTACCAGTAACTTCCCTCAAATACATGGTTTGTATAGAGTCTACAATCAAAGCACGAGGAGAAAGAGCTTGGACTGTGTTGAGAATATCCTGAAATACAGAACAACAGATGACTGTGAGATAGAAATATTACCTCTTACAATGTTCAAAAAACTATCCATAAGAACATTAATGTTGATCCCATAATGCAATGGCTGCTTAAACTTCTTCATAAAAATAATTTTAATGCAGCCAGCTTCTAGTACCCATACAAGCAGCAGTGCACCACAAACAAACTACATTGACCTATAATTAGCAACTTTTAATACCCTCAAAATATCCACATTTAGAAAACGAAAAAGTAATGAACCAAAAGTTACACTGCCCACATCAATAAACTTGGAAAGTGACAATCACACCTCAACATCTGTACTTGAGTATAGGAAGAGGTCCTCCGTGTTGATCCTCAATCGATCAGCTCTGCTCCCAATTTGGTCAACACTCTGTGACACAAAATACAGAATATATTGTTCAATAAAGGGCAAAGAGAACCTACGATTAGGTCCTTAAAGACGGCCACCCTAGACATCCTTGTTCACATTGCATTGGTAGATAATTTTTCTCAATAGAAAAACAGTACCAAGACTTGATGAGTTTCCTCATTAAATCAGTTTACAACAAGCAATATGAAGGTCGTCAGCACAGCACCAATGGAGATCTTTGCTGTACAGTACTAACAGATATCTTCAGCAAATACAAAGAACTACAGATGCCTAAATCAGTGGTTCTTCATGATCAATATAGAAATATATATTCTATGACAAACTCAAAGGCACATAACACAGATACAATTCCTAGAAGGCCAAACTCAAAAGAGCCCCACTTTTCAGGAAGAATATCGAAAACTGAAACACAGAACATTATAAGAAACATTACAGAAGAGACCAAAATGAAGTAGCACATTTTCAAATAAATTAAAAGAGAGAGAGAGAGAGATTTAACCAGGTTTTAGGGTTGCTGAAATGGGAGTGAGAGTCCCTTGCACGCAGATAAGTGCATGGATCAGCGCATGAATGCCAATTCACTAGAGGATGCAGATAACTAAGGGCCAGAAAAACGAGGATTTTAAGGTCGATACAAAGTCCAGAACATACACAATTTGGAGATAGCTGGATAATGGTTGAACTTCACAAAAACATTCACCAAATTCTTTGAGACCTATCACAACCTTATTTGAGTAGCCTTTATTAGCAATAGCTAGTTCACAGCCAATTTCATCAACCACTTCCCCTTTGATCGTGTTCAAAAATCTTATGAAAAAAAAGGCCACAGGCCAACTAAAAATGATGAATAAGTTGGGGAGAATCCGCATTGTGAATAAGTTTATTGAATACATATAGTATGTGATGTATATAACTGATGAATTGCCAAAAATATAGGAATAGCTTAGGGTGAGAGAAATAATTTTTATTTTTCAACAAAAGCAATGACTATCATCCTTTGCCAACCCAAAAGTTCTAGAAGCAAGCAACTTAGTCAAGCGCACAAGCAAACGTAATCAGTTCTACATTAATATTTAAACAAGAAAAATAGATATTCTCATAAATTATCAAAATAATTGAAACCATAAAACATAAGTGGGCAAAGTCGATAGAGAACCAATTGAATGCAGGAAAGAAAGGAACATAAACCTAACCAGAACTTTGGAGAAATTTAAACTCATCAGGTACTTCAAAAAGAAAAATGGAATTAAAACAAAACTAACCTCTTCACCAGAAACATAGAGAACCGGAGCTGGGTCATTTATACCGCCTCCTTCCGCAATCATCGCAGCCATCTAAACGTGAAAAACACTATGCTGCTAAATTGAGAACAGATACGAACGAAGAAGCTCAAGTATGTAATGTACAATCATTGCAGCCATCTAAACATGAAAAATACTACGGTATTAAATTGAGAATAGATACTGGAAGAAGCTCAAGTATGTAATGCACAAACATCATGGATATCACACATAAAATCATTACATAAACAACATATCGTACATATGTTCAATAAAAAAGCAGATAATCTACCAGTGTCTATGGAAAAACAAACATATAATTTTTGAGACTACTGTGATCCCCTCGGCCCTTGTTAAGCTTTCCCCACATGCATGAACAAATACAAGGTTTTATAGAGTGGTTCAAGTACCAAGTGCTGCATACCGTGTCATTATATATAATTAAACCAGGTTGTTCAATCGTGCAACCTGTAGTTTACCTGTAACAGAAGTGTACTTTTGCCAATTCCAGGATCACCACCAATCAAAACCAAGGAGCCTATAGGACCAAATGATTCAAAATAATGACAAAAAAAAATATTCCATCAGCAACCCATCGCATGAAATTCCCTGAAGAACAAATAAAAAACTCAGATTCTATAAAATGCAGACTTCCTACATAACATTTTATTATTTTACTGTTATTACAAAAGATTTCCAATTTGTCAATAGTTTATAAGAAAAAAAAAATTTCTGCATAAGTTTCGATATCCTTAGAAGTTCGGAAGTCTGGAAAAAGTAAATTTCCACGACAACTTTGACTACTATGAAGAACTGAGAAGATGAAAAACTTTCAAGAAGGTATAAGGGCCCAATACATGGTATGGAAGATAGGCAACCCCAAATGACTCTAATAATTACATACCCGGAACAAGACCCCCTCCTAACACCCGTGCTACCTCCATTCCAAAAAGTCCAGGCCTGAGTATCAAACATTATTGGATCAAAACTCAATACAACCACAAAAACTGGAATCTAGATTATTAATAGGAATGTACCAATAAATAAGGAATCACTGATAAGCATATCCTTTCAAAGTCAGTATTCAAATAGCCTGGTCACCTCTCAAAAAGCTATATTTTTGTTGGAAAAGTTCAGCATAAATCACGAGCATGAACCTTAAAACTTCACAACGTACAGCACTTTAATAAATTTTAATAGCATGGTTTACAGATGTAATGGTTCTACCGAATTATTTTTCTCCTCTCATTTATTGAATATGAAAAAGAGAAACCAGAATCCCTACGCTTTATCAATTACACCCAACTTCCCAAAAAATAAGCCCATCAACTAATGAAGGCTTTCAGTATAAATCAATTTTCAAAAAAGAAAGGAGAAAAAAAGCAGAGATAAAGCCTTGAAAAAATTTTACAATCCTAAAGACCCAAATTAAATGAAGAACACTCAAAAGACCAAGACAGGATGAATTGGATAATAAAAACAGTAAACTACAATAATAGAAGATTTACTCAAAATGATTGCACAAAAAATATTTATTGAATTAGAAGCTACAAAATCAACAATTTAAAACTAAACAAAGAAATTCCAACAGCAATACACAAGCAAAATGTGAAAATTTATAAACTTGATCGACATACAGAGGAATCCGCCATCGCCGCCTGCTAAGCCCTTTCTTAACATCCACCAATTTCTGGGGCACTAAATTAACAGTCCCACTGCTAAACCACGATCTAAGAGCATTTCCTGAAGCTTCGAGCCCAAATGTTTTAGCAGAATTATGATCCAACTCCGATAAATGCTTGATCGTGCCAACTTTCTTGCATGATTGACACGTCCCCCACCATTGACCATATGTATCTCCACATTCCTCACAAATATATTGACTAGCATTCTTGCCCACTTTCTTTTTCAGGGAGAAACACGCATTCCTCGTTGTCGATTTGTCTAAAACCGTAGGGTTTTCGGTCTCTTCATCTGACCGTTCATCATTTGAGCTAGAGGAAGCTTTTTCAATGGAAAAGGAGGTTCGAGAATAGCATCTCTGCAACTCTTGGGGAAAATTAGAGCATAGAAATCTGGGGTTTCGGAAGGGAATTTTGTTTAGCGTTAGGGCTTGGTGATTTTTAAGGAAAATTCGACGAAAAGCGAACATGTTTGAGAGAGAATAGAGATGAGAGACAGTATGCATCAGAGACCAGTGAGAATTAGGGCTTTCGAGGAGAGCTTCATGGAAGAAGAAGAGAGAGAGAGAGAGGGGCTTTCCAGGAGAGCTTCATGGATGAAGAAGAAGAAGAAGAGAGAGAGAGGGAGAGATTCCCGCTAAAATGGAGAAGTGGCGAGGATGAATATATTTGACAAAAGTTTAAATGGTGACTGGTTTTTGTCGCGGTTAATTTCAGTTTCATGGACTAAAGAATGAACCCTAATTGACGCTCGAAAACATCTTTTGAAGCAGCGGGTTTAGTATGCTCCCGCGGGAGCAAAATTCCCACTTCAAGAATTACTAAGAGCAAGCAAAAAAATCTAGAGCTATGATACTTCACTTAATCATCAGTAATATAATAATAATATGCTCATGCATGCTCCCTTCAGTAAAAGCCCCATGACTACTTTTAGGGATCCGGATGCAGCCTCCTCGACGTAACCACCGATCTAAAAAAGAAATGTGTAATAACATTATCATCATCATTTTAGTTTTTTTTTAATTAATTGAGATTTGCTACATGAATATTAGTTTTTTATTCTGCTCTATTAAAAGTCATATCTTCAATGTAGTTACGAGTCCCTATATCTTTTTGGACTACTTTTAACCACATCTTTTTTGGTATACCTCTTATCATTTTTAGTCCTTCCACTTAAACTAATTCGCATCTTCTAACAGGTGTTGTACTTTATTAGCACCACACATGGCCAGTCCTTCCACTAAGTCTATTTTCTCTCATTTTATCGCCTATTAGTGTTACACCTAAATCTTCTCGAATAGATTCATTTAGAATTTTATCTCTATGTGTATTGCCACTCATCCATTTCAACATCCTCATCTATGCTACATTCATTCTGCAGGTATAAATGAGAAATAACATGTACTATGTAAAGTGAAAAGATTTGTTGCTCCCCCTGTTAAAACTCTTAATTGACATAATTTTTTGGACCTAAAATTTGGGGATTTAACCTCAAGAACCTAACAAAAAACACTTAGGAAGAAAAAAAGAAGTCTTTGTATGCCTCGAAACAAATAATGCTCCAAAATTGAACACGAAAGTGTCCAATATTTTTCCTTTATAGATCCCAAAATTCTTGGACAAAAAAAAATCCCAAATAGGCCTCTACCTAAGGGAATAAGTGTACAATAGGCTCATGCAAGAGCATAGTATAGGCACTGTTGCGTAAAAATCACTATGCATTTCATAAATTATATTCATTCTACATGTGTCTCATAAAAGCAATGGTCTAAGCTTAAAAATAGAGCATTCAATTTTTAGACAGTCTTTATTTAATGTTTTAAACTCATAATCCAATTGTTTTCTTTGGTAAACACTCTTCTAATGTTATCAAGTTGATCTCAAATTTTAAGATAGAATAAATACTTCAAAGTACGTCTTCTTCCTTTTTTTAGGAATTATAGGCTATACATATTTTTGAATGCCGATTTCGACTGGACTAACAAAGACATTGGTGATCAAACTAAAAAAGGCTAGAAATCATTTTGCCTGCTGAGATCTCTTTATTTAAGTTGAATCCTCAAAGGTAAACTTAAATGGCCTTTCAAATCATCAAATAAATAACCTATAGTGAAGAGAATTTTCAAATTTTCCCTCAAGGGAGACAATTTATCTTTGGTACAAGATAGTGATTGTAGAATATTTGTATGTACAATATACTGTCTAATTGTAATGGTCAAGACATCTCCCATTGACTCATCTCCAAAACTTCACCATATTCTCTAGCTTTTATTGCTATACTATTTCTCTTGACACCTTTGTGAGTGAAAGTACATTCTGCTGAAACTTTCTCAACATAGTCAACTGTTAATATTAAAGCCAAGTAATGAAGAAATTTTTCCAGATGTCATGAGGAATAGTTAGTACAGTAAAGCAAAATTATGATATGGATTCTCAGCTACTTCAAAAGGTGGCATTTGAATTTCTCTCTCCAAAACCAGTATGAATTTCTAACCATTTCCTGCCAAATTGCTCCGAAAGCTTTTAATCTTGATTTGAAAACAATCTCTCTTCACCCTATTCGTGCTTGAAGAGCAAGGGGAAGGAGAATGCATGGTGCTAGAGGATTTGGTTTTTCTTTAAATTCTCTCACTGGCAAACGATAAAGGATAGAAAAGAAGGTTTAATTATAAAAATAATATGACACAGAACTTGGTTATGTCTTAATTGGACAGAATTTTGTTGCTAACTTTTGGGAACCCAAGTTTCTTCTGGTTTCTTCCAAAGTGCTTACCGAGCTGTCATTAGATCATGTCCCTATCTTCATGAAAACTGAGATTGTTGTGGCCCTAGACCTCTTTGTTTTGAAATTGGCTGGTTGTGAGATTAAAGAAACTCCTGGGGTTATAAAAAACATGTGATCCAATGTAGCGTTGCATGTTTGATCTGGGCATGAAATGTTCAAGAAGCTCAAGCAACTAAAACAGCATTTTGTGGAAAAAGAAAAACTAATAACTTCAATTTGAAAAATAGGTTATCAGATATTTTGAATAGGTTACAGCAGCTCGACGGTTTGGAATAAATTAATCTTGGTTTGGAGGATTCACATTGTTAAAATCTTTTGTTATATAAGTTTTTGACCTAAGTTTCATAATTATATTTGTATAGGCGGTTTTGTCCATATCATATTTTTTAATATAAAATATAAGTTGAGCATGAGGGTAAGTTGAACCTCATGTTATTTTCTCCTTTCACGTCTTCTCTTCTCTCTTATTTTTCTTCTTTTCTATTTTCTCTCCATATTTTAGATACACAGAGAATGGAAAGAATTATTCTCAACATAGATTCGAGCATTTGTGGTTGGATGAGATTGAGACAAAGCTCGAGCGTTAAATGGTTAAAAGAGGGATACTAAACATTTCCACTCTATTGTGAGTGCAAGGAAAACATCTAACAGCTTAGTTGGGCTTCAAATTCAAGGGGTTAGTCAAGATGATCAGGATGGGATGGTAGATGCCGTGTTAAACCACTTCAAAGCTGCCATCACAGCTGAATGTAGGCCTAAAACAAACTTTCAAGGTGCTACTAGAGCCTGCTGCAAAACAAATTTAGATTTGAAGAAACAACACTAAGTCATGGAGCATTATCATGCCTTCGATGCTTGAATAATGACACGAGAATATATCACCTAGGGATGGAACTTACCTAAGACCCTGGATCTGAAATTTGAAAAGATACATGCCCGTAATGTGTGTGTGCGTGTGAGAGAAAGAGAGAACTACCAGTATTGGAGCCCACCAGTTCATGAAAAAAAATTTATTTCTTATAATTACCATATTCAAAGAAAACAATCACGATGCAGTATTCTTCAACTGAGCAACAGAATGGAAATCAAAGAAAGCAGGATCAAGTCCTGTACATACCCAAAAGGATCTGCATTTTAAACAACCCATGGTGTGTTTAATGAGACAAGAGAGACAGAGAAAGAGTGAGAGAGGGAGAGGGTCCACCCCCAAAATCAAGCCCTACAGATTCCCAACGGATCTGCATTTTGAAGAATCCATGGATGCTCAAGAAGCTTATGTAGAGGAAGGCATTGCGAAGAATCTTTTATAGGCAACTGCAAAGCAAAAAAACAAAACAGAGATGAGAGAGACAAAATAAGGGAGAGGGAGAAACAATATTAAAAATAAATAAATAATAAGAGAGAGAGAGAGAGAGAGAGTAAATGTGAGTAAAACAGAACGAACTTGACTGATCCAATCCTTTGCAGTTGCTAAAACAATAGGCAAATGGAGGAAACTTCAAGTCAACTCTAACAATCCTGCATTCATTTGTGACATAATCATATAATATTTTAATTAGTTTTCAAACCAAGCATGAGAACCTGGAGCACAAGCTGGAGTACATAGAAGTTGAACGAAACTTACAAGTGAGAAACACAAGATGTTACTTTATAACACACTAGAAGTCTCATCATGTAGAGATGCTACTTTTGAACTGTAGATCTTGGTAAACAATCTCTCACTCTCTCTCTCTCTCTCAAACCACACTAGAAGTCTCATCATGTAGAGATGCTACTTTTGAACTGTAGATCTTGGTAAACAATCTCTCACTCTCTCTCTCTCTCTCAAACATACACTCACTCACACACAGGTGTGCATGCAGTGCTCAAAAAGAAAGAGAGCCCACCTAGTGCCTTGGTGGGACTCCCTGGGCGCCATGTCCCTGGACAGCTGACCAGCCACTCAAAACGGGCATCTCACTCTTAGTGCGAAGGTGCCCACCTTGGTCACCAAGATTCCCCAGGCTGCTTGGTCGCTGCCCAACATTTTTTAAAATTATACATGTGTACGTACACTCAACTCATGGAAGCTTACCTTCGGTATGTGTCAGAGTGCTCCTTTGCTTCAAACGGAGGAACCCCATAAAGAAACTCACAGCACGATACCCCAAGGCTCCAAATATCGACACTTGCATCATGCTCTTTGCTCTCCACTGAAACCAAAACACATATGAGCCATTGTCTTAATAAATTTATGGAAACTACCCAATCACACAAAAGAACACTTTTCGTCAGTCGCTGTCTCATCTCTTGGACAACCAGATATGCATGATGTTGTCTTAGAATGAATACGACATTGGACTGCCCCACACAAAAGAATTGGTTAGATTGTAGGGCAGTTGCTATTATCGAACCACCTAGAATGGAGTTGTAGGCTATCATCACGTTGGCCCAATGCCAGAAAATTAAAAATTAAAAATAAAATTGAAAAGAAAAATAAAAAATTAAAAATAAAATGTCAAGCCCAAAATTGGAGAAAAAATAAAAACAGGAAAAAGAAGAAAAGGACCTTGCCATAAAATTTCAGAAAATATAGAACAAAGGATAATTCAATAAATTTAACCTGGTCTATAAGTGAATTTCTCTATTTTTAAAGTAAGATGCAGAATTACACATACAACACCCATTCCTAGTCATGAATCATAACCAGCAGTATGAAAGTTTGTGATTTTTACCCTTTAACACAGTCCTATGCATTTCATGCATCGTAGTCATCATCTTCTTTTCAAGCTCATGACCAGAATCCACTCTTCCATACTCCTTATCACAGCCAAAACAGAGCACGTTTTATTGCAGTTAAACTTGCACCTAATTTCGACCATGGGCAACTAAAACTCGCTCCCATGCTTTGTGCGATCTTAAGAGTTGAGAGCGTGTAAACTGCTCTCTCTCTCTCTCTTTCTCAAACAAGATCGCTGGAGTAGTCAAATTCATATCCATGAGATTAAACTCACTCTCAAACACCATTCCTCGAGAAGTCAAATTCATATTCAAGAGATTAAACTCAAGAGCATGCACTTCATCATGAAATTCCCTCGAGCTCAAGTGTCCTTGCAAATATCATCATAAAACTTCCATTAATAATCAATATCTTCTCTGTTTGCCATCAATTCATCTTTCACAGCCTAAATCAACTCACTCATTCCTGAACCCTCTAAGTCAAATTTCCTTTGTCTTTACGAGCTCCAGTGATTCATATTCTGTACAAGAACGAAGTATATCAACTTGTTGTCTATAAATTTTCAAAGAAGAAATGAACATGTTAACTATTGAGACCTTCTAAGTATCCTTGATCTCCACAAGAACAGAACCCATCTCTAAAATGGTGGAAGTCATTGGCATCTCTCACTGTAATCTCTCTCTTGACTACACTAGTGATGAACTTAACAAGGGTATGGCAGCTAACACACATGTGTAGGTTTTTCGTGACCCAAATTGGGGTTCCAGGCACTGTATTTAAGAGAGAGAAAGCCACTGCCATTCTCTCACTGTGCCCACAAAATACCTCAGCTTTTGACGCTTCCAACTCATCTCCAATGGTTACTTCTTGACCTTCTCTCTTCATTTTCTCAGAGAAATTCACCAAAACTCCTTCTATCTTTCGAAACTCAGGGTGGGTTTTGTCACCACTGAGAAATGCATGAACTGTGCCCTTAACCTCAACCCAACTACACCCTGGATCAACGGTTAAGCCTTTAGAGTGCATCAACTTTCTTACTCTAGAAACTCCATCCCATCTCTCTGCTGCAGCATACATCTCACAAAAAAGGCTATAATATCCTACATTTTCAGGCTCTAATTCAAAGATTTTCATGGCCGCTTCTTCACCTAACTGAACCCAACCATGAATTCTACAAGCCCCTAATAAGGCCCCCCATAAAGCTGCGTCTGGTTCAATAGGCAACTCAGCTATGAACCTTCGAGCCTCTTCTAAAAGCCCAGCTCTCCCTAACAAATCCACAACACAAGCATAGTGTTTAAGATTTCGAGACACAGAGTGTTTCTCTCTCATGCTCTTGAAGAGCTCCATGCCTTCTTCAACCATGCCTGACCGACTACAAGCGCAAAGCAAGGCAACAAAGGTCACCTCATCAGGAATAAATCCTGCCTCCTCCATCTCTCTAAACAATGAGAGGGCTCGAGCCCCCTCTCCGGGACTAACACACCCACCCAACATTATGTTCCAAGAGGTCACATCTTTTCCTCCCATCACTTGAAACAATACATTGGCCTCTTTAATTCTCCCGCACTTCAAATACATGTCAAGCAATGCATTCCATACAAAGTTGTTGGATTCCTCAAAAGAAGCCCCCACATTGTTCCTTAACATATGAGCATGGATCTCTTCTCCACACTGTAATGCCCCAATTTTTGAACAAGCCGAAAGGGCAGCCATTACTGTAACTGAATTGGGTTTAAATTCATTTTGCATATGTCGAAAATGAAACAAGGCCTCGAAGCTCCTATTGTTTTGCCGGAATCCGGCAATCATGGCTCCCCAGGAAACCAAAGTTCGGCAAGACATGCGTTTAAATATTTGCACAGCCCTCTCGATACACCCACACTTTGAATACATATCAATCAGAGCATTGGCAACTATAACATAGGAAAGCAATCCTCTCTCCTTTGCATAATCATGGAGCTTGAAACCCCTATCGAGAAGCTTTAGTTCTGCATAAACTGATAAAACAACTGCAATGGTAACCTCATCTGGTTCTGTACCCTCTGATCTCATCTCTTCAAAGGCATTCAAAGCCTTCTGATAAAACCCATTTTTTGCATACCCTGATATAATTGCAGTCCATGATACCACATCCCTATGCCTCATCCTCCTAAACACATCCAACCCATGATGCAATTTACCCATATCCACATACATCTGGATCAAAGCATTCGAGATGGAAACTTCAGGTTCTAGCCCGAATCCAATCACATAGCCATGAACCTCTTTCCCCAATTCTTCAACCCCCATCATAGCGACTGATGAGATTACCGCAGTCATGGTCATGGCATTCGGCTCCACCATACCCATCATTCTCATTTCACAAAAGAGTTTCAGAGCTTCTTCACATTCTTCATTCTCATAGTACCCAGCAATTAATGCATTCCATGAAATTCTATCTCTCTGGACCATTTTATCAAACACTTGTTTTGCAGAACTGAGATAGCCACATTTTGAATACATTGTTATCAGAGCATTGAGAATTTGGGTATCTGATTCATATCCAAATCTTAGAAAATGGGTATGGACCTCTTGGCCATGGTTATGGTCTGGAATAGCTGCACATGTCCTCAAGACACAGGGAAAAGTATATACATCAGGTCGAATACCAGTCCAATACATTTGATGATAGAGAGTCATGGCCTCAGATAAAAACCCATTTTTTGCATAACCACCAAGCATCACATTCCATGAAAAAATGTCCCTGTCCTCCATTTTTCCAAATACAAACCAGGCATCAAGGAGCTTCCCAAACCGCACATAAAAGCTAAGAATACAGTTCCCAAGCCTTAAACTCAGAGGAGAGAGACCCAAAGACGAAGAGATATGGGAGCAAACAACCTCACCTTTCAAAACCTCTCTCTTGATTTCACAGAGCTTGAGGAGAAGAATGTATGTCTCCTCTTCTACAATGAATTTCTCGTCTTTCATCCCTTCCAAAATCTGCAGAGCTTGGTCCAAATTTCCTAGCAAGCAAAGGTTACAGAGGTTTGAATTCAAATTGTGAGGTTCCATTGAATTGGAAGGGATTGTTGTCGAATTCGTTTGTTGGGTTTTTTCTGGAGATGAATATGTGAGATGGGTCTTGTGGTATTTGTACAGAGAGGATGGTTTGTGGGTTCTCCATGAATTGGGAGGAATGGTGAGAGGAAGAGAGAACAAGGGGAAAGAAAGAGGTGGAGCTCTAGTACAAGCTGCCATTTTTTACGGTGAAGCGCATTTTTTTATCCTATGAAGCAGGGTTTAGGTGAGTTTTTGAAGTGCGAGAATAAGCTTTTGTAGAGTCGTAAACTCACACAACTTCAGAGTGAGAAAATACTCTGGAGCCACCAGTGTCCATCAAAGCTCGCTATCTTTCTCGGTGGGTCATGGTGTAGGAGCTAGAAACAGGAACCCCACTCTCTCTCTCTGCTAGAAAGAAGAACCTCTGTCTCTCTAAGTTTTCTCGGGCTTAAGATGGGTTGGTGTCTCAATCCTAGAAAGAGGAACATCTCTCTCTCTCAGTTTTCTCGGGCTTAAGGTGGTTTGGTGTCTCAATCCATTTTGTTGGGGAGAGAGAAAATTTTATCTCTCTAAGCACAGTGACAGCCGCTGAGTGTGATGCATCATTTCATGGGGATCCCAATCTCTCTGGACTTAGATGCATGCATCGGGTGCGTTGGACGCAAAGATGCATCCACATGTAATCAACAAAACATAATGCATGCTTCATGTAAAGGACCGGGTTCTATGCGGCCAACCCACATACGTAGAAACGTGGCCTCTTAATAAATCTATTTTTGAGATGGATTTTAATACTTGATTTTGAAGGAAACGTAATCTCTATCACGGAGATCATGAATATGAAAGAATAAATAAATTTAATAAATTATAAATGATAATTCTAGTAAGAAAATATTTGGATTGATATTGCCAACTTGCAACCATCTTTAGGATAGATGCTTTACATTTTATAGACTGTTTATGTAGAAATGTGATCCAACCCGCATGAAACAATTTTTCATATGTAAAGGAACTGCTTTGTTCAAGCACCCTCAAAGGAAAAGTTTATGTAGAGCTGAGGCTCTAAACAATTAAATTAGAGCCTACCACAAAAATTTCACTAGAAAAGCTTGTTTTGATGCCCAAATATCCTCAAATTGATCATTTCGACATCAATATAGACATAAGAAAAAAATAGATTTCAAGTTTTGAAAATAGTGTATCTTGTAATGTATTTTTTGACCGTCAATTTTCAAGGTTTTCATAGATTTGCTCGATCTACACTATTTTTTAAGCGTTAAACTTTATAAATGAAGATGAAAATCAAGTTTAAGGCTATCACAAAGATTTCTAATATTGAAACCACATTTCTCGATACTATTTTAAGGTAGGGTCTAATTTGATTGTTTAGAGCCTAGGCTCTATACAAACCGCACCCATATTGAAATGACCTAAAAATTTATTTTTATCTCTAATTATAAAATTTAAATATCTAAAAATAGTGTAGATCGTGCAATTCTATGAACACTTGAAAATTGACGGTCTAGATAATACATTATAAGATGCATTATTTCTAAGACTTGAAATCTACTTATGATGTCTATAAATCTTGAAGTTGAGATGATCGAATTGAGGGTGGGAACAACCTCGTCTTGTGAATTTTAAGGAATGCCTTAATTTGATAGTTTAGAGCTTCGCCTTATATAAATTTTTTCCTTATGTAAACCTACCTTCGGTATTTAAAAATGGGTTATGTTAGGGTGCTCACATTATAGAATAATTTAACATTGTACTCAACAAATTTTGGATATTTGTATATTCTTGTTTTGTACATAGAGTTTTTTTTAGTAAGAGTATTTTTGGTCATTAGGAGGGATGTGAAGTCATATAATTTTAATATCCAAAAATGGTTTAAATCAAGCAAATATATGAACACATGAAAATCTTGTAAACAGACGATACAGATAATACGTTGCAAGATGCACTATTTTTTCCAATATTCATGCATATTGATATCAAGATAATCAATTAGATGGTTTTTCAATGTCAAAATAGTTTTTTCTAATAGAGTTTTGAGGTGGACCATCTACAATTTAAGGAGTCAACCTTATATAAATTTTTTCCAAAAGAAAAAAAAATATAGTAAATATAATAATTATAGGCCCATGCCAATTATTGGCGGATAAATGGCATATAATAAAGTTTCTAGCGTCCCATTTGTGTAAAAAGAAGTCCTATACCTTTTGTGAATGACATAATAAAACAATAAAGACCAAAGATTATAATGTGACTCTTTACAATCATACGATAAAAAAGGGAAAATAGTTTGATAGGGCTGCAGACTTAACAAAATTAGTAAATCCACTTTTCGAAAATTGTAATTCAAGCGTCGGAAAGCCTTTCATCGATCATCTCGGCTTGAACTGGTTGTGAAAACAAATTAAGACTTCAAGCTATAAAAATAGTGTGTATTATAACAAATTATCTAGACCGTCCATTTCGCCCTAAAAATAAGTGTTCACATATCCGCAAGTCCCTACAATTTTTTAGTTTCAAAATTTGCAAGTCCCTACATTTTTTTAGTTTCAAAATTTATTATCGGTGCTGGAATTGTTGCAGGGATTTACACCGGCTTGCAAAAAAAGATATTGATTACTTAATCTTCCTAAAATAATGAGATTTATATTATAATACAAAGAGTAATAATATGAGTTAAACATGTGAATGAACCTTACATAGCAAGATGAGATGAAGGTGAGAATGACAAGTTGAAGAAAAGCCGGGATGGAGATTCACAACTTAGAAAGAAAGTAAAAACTAGCAGGTTTACTAAATTTTTTTAAAAAAGAAGATACTTTTATTGGAAAAAAGGATCAAACTCTAGGTAAGAAAAATGAAATTAAGAAAATTTTCATGAAAAATAACATTTCCAAATGAGAATCACCACATTGTCAAGTCAAAACTTGTCTCAAGACATAGACACGTATTGAATACTCATTGGCTGTGTTGTATAGGTTTCTAGAGGTTTCGACGCACATGTCGATGTCACTCTGAGTATACATGTGATCAGACATTCAAATGCAAGTGTCCATGCTGCATAAGTTTAGAGCTAACAGTTTCGAACAATTTATCATATGGAACCAATGTGGATTGGAACTATCAGTTTCTAAACTTTTTCTTACCAGGGTCGCTAACTATACTTAAGAACTACTCATTCTTAGAAATCAAAGCTGCCTGGAACTAAAAGTTTTGTGCTCAATGCAAGGTCCAAGGAATAATATCGTCTGAAACTATTTGTTTCAGACCTTGGCTATTTTGGAAAACAAAAAAAAAAGAAAAAAAATGATGCAGCTTCCAGACTTCTTTCAAAGATGAAGTTTTTTAGCCGACCACATGGTCTAACAAAAAAATTTACAGTATGAAGAAGCAACACTAAGTCATGGAGCATTATCATGCCTTCTAATGACATAAGAATATATCAATTAGGAATGCATCTCAGACCCTCGATCTGAAATTCGAATGGATACATGTACACAATGTGCGCGCGGGTGAGTGAGAGAGAGAGAGAGATTGTCCGCTAGTATTGGACTCCATCAGTTCTTCCAATGAAAAAATTGATTCCTTATATTTAATGCATTTAAAGAAAACAATCATGATGTAGTATATTGTTCAATTGCGTGAGAGAATGGGGATCAAGGAAAGCAGGATCGAGCCCTGTACACACAAAGGAGATGGCATTTCAAACAACTCAACGAAACAAGAGAGAGAGAGAACGAGAGAGAGAGAGAGAGAGAGTCCACCCCCCAAGTCAAGTCCTATAGATTCCCGATGGATCTGCATTTTGAACAATCCATGGGTGCTCAAGAAGCTTATGTAGAGGAAGACGCTGCGAAGAATCTTTTACAAGCAACTGCAAAGCCCAAAACAAAACAGAGATGAAAGATAACATTCAAGACTAAATAAATAATGAGAGAGAGAGAGAGTAAATGTGAGTAAACCAAATCTTACTTGACTGATCAAATCTTTTGCAGCAGCCGAAACAACAGGCTTTGAAGGAAACTTTAAGTCCACTCTAACAATCCTGCATTCGTTTGTGACATAATCATATTATATTATAATTTCTTCTCAAAACAAGCATGAGAACTTGGAGCACAAGACAGAATACACGCACAAGTGAAACAAGTGAATGAAACATACAAGTGAGAAACATAAGGAGGTGACAATCACTATTAGCCCTTAGATGTCAAGTTGGATGTCTCAAATCATGTCACAAAGTACGAGAATTTTTTTTTTAACTTTTGAGTCTAGTCAATGGCATACTACATTTGATGAACAAAATTGATTATGGCATCCTTGTACTAAAAATTAAATGGTCTCTTTATATACTATTTCCATTACTTTATAACACACTAGATGTTATTGGTTTAGATGCTGACAAGAAAAGCTCGTCATGTTAAGATGTTATTTTGAACTATAGATCTTGAAAAAGAATTGAAATAATGACTCGTACTCCTCTCTCTCTTTCTCTCTCTCTCTCTCTCTCTCTCTCACACACACACACACACACAGAGGTGGGCGTGCAATGCACAAAAAGAAACAGCCCACCTTGGTGGGGGGCTCCCTGGGCGCCATGTCGCCCGGGCACTCGAGACGGGTGCCTCACACCTAAGCTGAGCCCACCTTGGTCACCCAGATCCCCCATGCTGCCTAGGCGCTGCCCACATTTTTCTAACAAATGCGCATGCACATGTGTACACACAGACAACTCATGGAAGCTTACCTTCGGTATGTGTCAGAGTGCTCCTTTGCTTCAAAAGGAGGTACCCCATAAAGAAACTCATAGCACAATACCCCAAGGCTCCAAATATCAACACTTGCATCATGCTCTTTGCTCTCCACTGAAACCAAAACACATATGAGCCACATTGTCTTAATAATTTTCTGGAAACTACCAAATCACACAAACGAAACATATGAGCCATTGAGAATCTTGACCATAATTGATATTGGACAAAAATACACCGAAAACTAGACAATTTCTCTAAAATATCATTACAAATAAAACAATTTTCATTGAAGACCCGAACTTCAAAACAACCCCCCCATTTATAAGAAGATAAATGCAAAAAATACCCAAAAAAATAAAACTAAAGGACATTTTGGCATCATGAGCTTTACCAGAAAAAAGAAGAAATAAAGGAGATTTTGGCATCATGAACTTTACCGGAAGGAATCTATAGCAGTTCTCTTATGAAGGAAAAATTGCCAATGCCCAAGAAAACAAATACACTCAAGAAACATTGAATGAGAACATGGAGCACAAGATGGAGTACACACATATGAAACAAGCAAATGAAGCAATGGGCATTAAAATCTTGATAACTTAAAGAAAGACTGAACCTCTCACTAACCCATTTCAGGTGGGAGGTAGTCCAGTGTTCCACACATGGTGCGTCTCCTATCAAACGTATGAACAGACCACCCAAAGTCTGCAATTTTCAATTCACCCTGACATTCAAAAAGCCGAGTACATAAGCAACAATCTTACTACATATCAAGGTATTATACAACTACATAAAACTACATTTTACAACTTCACATAGACCAGTTATTCAATACAAAATACAAAAAGGAATTTTCCCTCTTCAAAGAGTCCAAGAGGAGGATTCTCATGGGAGGTATAAACCCAGTTACAAATGCAGGAGGGCATTCAATGCACAAACGGAAGCTTCCTACAGTACCTACACCACCCGAGCTGTTGAGTTGTCAACAAGGAACAGCTGATGTCTGAGTTGTTCCGAGGATCAATGTCCAAAAATTTTGATAGAATTTGAGAGAAAGAACTAAAGACCCCAGACCATCCATAAATTGAAAGGTTGGGCTGAATTTTTTAGGAAACATCAGTGTATGCACTACCTCGAGCTGTTAAGATGTCAAAAAGGGACGGCTAAGGTATTTTTTTTGTAGGTTCAAATTCCTTTGAAAAATTTCATGGACATTGAATGGAGGAACCACAGATGACTTTTAAGTGGAGGAAATCCAGTCATCCACTGTTGAAAGTGAAAGATGGGTCTGATGCTAACTATAGGAGACGTCAGTGTTTGCATCATATATATGAACTCCACAACTGAAGGATAGTTGGAGAACAAATTTAATGGGATCCATAGGAGATTAACTACTAAACTAAATTTCAACCCAATGTTTGGGTGAACAGATGCAGATGAAACTTGGAGGAACATATAGAGTACTTCATTGGAAGGTAGCATACTACTGTAATTCATATACCTGCCCACTGTTGCAAGTCATTTTTAAGCTGGGTTCATTTCCATCAAGCGCAGCAGAGCAGGGAGATGGTACTCTAACCAGAGACCATATAGTGATATGTACGGGTCCCTGTATTGGAATTCTTTTTAAGCGAGGTTTGTTTCCCTCAAGTCCAACAGAGTACAGAGTTTAGTTTATGAAAGGACAAATACAGCATACTATAAGTAGATCATTGTTCTGTTAGTATATGCCAAGCACTCTTTCTCAGTGACTGAGAGACTGAAGGTGGAGACCTACATCTACCTATGAACATATTATTCTGCATATAAACATGGAATACTTTCACTTCAACATATCCAAAGATTTTGATAACGTTATCGGGGTTCATAATAGTGGAAGCTAGAAAATCCCTATGTAAGAGAACAAAGTACCTGTGCACCAACTAACAGGTTCTCTGGTTTGATATCTCTGTGTATCACGTGCTTGCCATGGCAATAAATCAATGCTTGAGCAAGAGATGCAATAAACTGCAGAACCATTGAAAATCAAAACATATAATTGCTTGTTAAATTACGTATATAAAGAATACAGGCTTAAATGATCGATCACAGTTTCAGAAAAATACTTCAATTTACAGATCTTTGACAAGAAGTCAACAGCAACACAAAAATATGAACAATGCAAACTTACTGTGGCAGCACGCTTCTCAGGGAAATATTTACATCTCTGCAGCTCTTTATATAGCTCTCCTTTTGCAGCATATTCCAGGATCAAATAAACCCGTGTCTGGAATTATAATAAACACACGTTAAAGACACTATACCCATTCAAACTGCAAATTCATATTCGATTCTTATACTATATACATTACAATGTTATATTATAATATATCAATATATTATTATATTGCTTTTTAGGGAAAATTACTATATACATTACGATGTTATATTATAATATATCATAATATATTATTATATTGCTTTTTAGGGAAAATTATAGATAACCCCCCCCCCCCAAACTTAACTTTCTAGACATCCTACAACCTAAACCCCAATATTGTTTTTCCTTATATTTACCCTCCAAGTAAAAAAATCAATGGATTTAAGACAAAAATGCCCTTACTCTCTCTCTTCTCTACTTTGGATTACGTGACTCTCTCTCTCTGCCCACACACTTTGTGCCGGATCGCATTACCAGCCTTGACTCACATTCTAACCAGTCCGGTACACTGGGTGCCGGACTGCAAAAATCTTAGTCCATAGCTAGAGAGAGAAAGAGAGAGGGCAGGTAGAGAGAGAAAGAGAAAGACAGAATGTGAGAGAGAGAGAATGGGTTTTTACATTGGGAGAGACAGTGTGGGCAAAGAGAGAGAGTCACATGACTCCAAAATAGAAGAGAAGAGCGAGAAAGTTAAGGGTATTTTTGTCCCAAATCCATTGACTTTTTACTTAGGGGGGTTAAATATAAAAACAACATTGGGGTTTAGGATGGGATACAAAAAGTTTTGGTGGGTATGATGTCTAGAAAGTTGAATTGGGGAGGTATCCATAATTTTCCCTACTTTTTATTTTTATTTTAAAAAAAATGGGCTTGACATACAAAACGTATTTTTATTTCAAGAGTTCTCGCTTCAAAGAAATGAACAATTTGCAGCCCACATGGTTCTGAAAGTCCTTTAAGGAAAAGGAAATACTGTGGAACATAGAATCAAATAAGATTCAAAAAGAAATTGAAAGACAATAAAATTACGTGCCCTTTCTTTAGAATATGCATGAAAGATGAATGCTAATTTCCCTAACTCACGGTGCACTCATTGATAGAAACTTGTAGATATGACTGACGTATACATGCAGAAATACATGATGTTGAGTAGTTTGACAACAGACTGGTTACTTTTGAATCAATGCTTTTTATTTCAAGTGATATGGAGCATGTATGATGCTGGACAAACATTCAGAAAAAAGGAGAGAGGTCTCATATATTTATGCTCATATAAATTATTTTTATTACTTCATTTCAAAAATTGGCTAGATTCTAGGGATGAATATATCATCTTCCCATTTCACCATTCCCTCTTTGGGTTAGATACTTGATCACTCCCATGTTTCTTCTTTTCCCTTCAGTAACTTTCCCATATTTTTTAACGATTTTGAGAATCTTTCTTTTAGTCATGTCCCCTTGCTATATTGCAATAGCTGATGTATTTTGATTGGGTGGTGCAAGCAAAATGGACTATAAAAGTAATCAAGTATATGCCAGAGGCAGTCATCAAAACTAACCAAAACCCCTTAGATTCAGAAAGGTTCTCTTCATTCTTTTTCATCCAAAGGAAAGAAAAAAGAAAGAGAAATTGAACCAATGCATGGTCAATGGAGCATAAACCTGGTCATAGAAGTAACCATATAAACGAAGAATGTTGGCATGTCGAAGATGACTCTGAATCTCAACTTCTCTTCGTAGCTGGTGCTCAACCTGGGATTGTTTGAGCTGACTTTTAAACAACACCTTCAAGGCAACAATGTGTTTGCTCTGCTCAACCAGAAGAAAAGAGAAAAAGGAAATGAATTTGCTAACCAAACACCAGCAATGGATTTCTATATACACAGAATGGGTTTTCTTAAAAAACAAACGTTTAAAAATTAGATTATGAAACCATGTACAGTTGCAAAATGAACCATATAACATATCTCACAACACTGTAAACATGAGAACCATATTATTACTGGTGTAACCAAATCTAAACTCCAAACATATGAGAAAATATTTCTTTTGGCCTTTTACCCCTGAAGATGGGAATTACGGGAAAAGTTTGAAGCAACGGTATAATAAAAATTCAAGATGCATCCACAACAGGCCAGATTTTTCAGATCACTGAATTGAGGTCAAGTTAAGATCAACAGAGGAACCTTTTTAATTGAGTAAGCCAAACCCCATCTCAACTTTGAGACAAATCTAACATTCACAGATTTCATTGCTATATAAGATACTAAGACCAGTTAATAAGGATCTGTGCTCTATTCTGAAAACTCCAAGAAACTGAATCCGAGAAGCAGCTTCAACCACCTTATAACCCCTGTCCATGGCTCATCTATAGTGCCAAAATTGTCCCTACACAAGAGTCAGTTCATAAATTCCCTGGTCTCTATCATAGCACCCTCATTTTCACTCTTATTGTGATATCAATTGACACCGACAATCTGTGGATAGCTTTATCCTTTGTCAAAGTTTGTATCTTCCTGATAAATTGATGATAAAAAAGTTTAAGATAGCTTCAGTTGTGAGGGTAAATGGTGGTGATAAGATGGAAGTTATTCTAATGGAACAGATCAAGCACCAGAATCTTTGATAAGTGGATGCTATTTTTACCATCTAAGAAAAAATAAAGCTCAAGATATAAACAAAAAAGATGCTAAAAGAAAATGAGAAGGAACACATGGTAAATCTATCCTAGAAAAAGAGCAGCTAATTCTGTCACAGATTAAACGTAACTGAGCCAAACATGACCGCATCTAACCAGGAAGATTTGCATGAAATGAAAGGGGAGCCGAGAAAGAAGGAACATCATTGCAAGCCTAATTTCCCAGGCTCGATTCCTATCCCACGTGGGTTGAGGGGAAAACCGGGCGTTCCCCACCAAGAAGTACTTAAAAAAAAATTTATATTACAAAAAGAAAGAAAGAAGGAACATCATTCCTTATGAAAATGGCATTGTTAAAAAACAATTAAACACATCCAATTCAGCATGCTAACAAGAAACATTCCAATGTAAATTTCTGAGAGAAAAAAAAAGGAGATCATAAATGTAAAACAATGAGTGACCTTCTTTTCCCGAGCCAAGTACACATTTCCAAATTTTCCTCTTCCCAAAGGCTTTCCGATGTCAAAATCGCTGAGAGTCCATCTCCTCTCCTCCTTCATCTTAACCTCTGATGAGCCCTGCAAAAAACACATAAAACAATCTGATCATGGCAATCTCTAGTCCATAAGTTCAAAAGAAAATGGAAAATGAAAAGAAAACCCTGACCGTAACCCTAAACTTTGAAATCTAATCCTCCTCAGAAAACCTAATCCAGCACATTTCATTGCCCAAAGCTAAACAAAACCCTAGAGTTTTACTGAAACAGATCCAATTCACCTCGAAATAAGCCCAAACCCCTCAAATTTCACCAGGAAACACCAACACGGAACCCCTAACTTCCAAACGTAAACCGCAAATTGATGAAAGCCAATATCGCCACACAAAGCCCCAAATGACCTCCAAATGACATTCCTATACAACATATACCGCAGATTTCGAAACAATCTAGGGTTTTACCATCTAAAAAATCAGTATGGGATTTGGGGCTAGGGTTTACTATGATCACTATTTACCTTCCCTTCTGGTTCAATATCCGTAGCCACGGTCATATTTTCTCTCGCAAGAAAACAATGGAGGATCTTAGAGAGAGAAAGATACTCGTTCAGAGAGATACTGATGAAGTGAGGAAATGGAAACCCTAGGTTTTGAACCTTGAAGGTTCGGCCAACGGTCCTTGCCACGTGAGATTTAAATAGGCAAGCTTAATGATTCTTCCAGAGAAGGTTGAGAGACAGTTTGAATTTTTGTGGAGCCCAAGTGGAGCGCAAGTGGAGCGTCTGCAACGGCTACATCCGTGCAATTGCCACAAGGGTGGCAACGGGTCGGGCCGGGTCCAGATGGACGAAACCAAACTCAAACCTATTTGGGTGAGGCTTGTATAGAGCCTAGGCTCTAAACAATCAAACTAGAACCTACCTTCGAATAGTATCGAAAAATGCTGTTTCAATACTAGAAATCTTAATGATGGTCTTAAAATATATTTTCATCTTTATTTATAAAGTTTAAAACTTCAAAATAGTGCAGATAGACATATCTATGAAAACTTGAAAATCTTGAAAATTGACGGTCCAAAAATACGTTACAAAATACACTATTTTCAAAACTTGAAATCTATTTTTTTCTCATGTCCATGTATTTTGATGCCGACATGATCAATTTGAGGATATTTGGGCATAAAAAAAGCCTCTTCTAATGAAATTTTTCAGGTAGGCTCTAATTTGATTTTAGAGCATCGGCTCCATATAAACTTTTTTTATATTTAAATATTATGTTCAATATATATATATGGAACTCGACCCAATCCAAAAATAAAAAAATCATATATTTAAATATTATATTAAATATATACATATATTATTTAAATATTATAATTAAAAATATATAAATATATTTTATTTAAATTAATTAAATATATTTATTTAAATTAATTATACCCGAACCTGACCGAGGTCTGGTTGTTGGGTCCTGGGTCGGGTTCAGGTCCATTACCACCCCTTAATTGGAAGAGTAATTAATTGCTTGTCGGGTTTCTATGAGGCTGCCGACTCATATGTGCTTGTGCGTCCATCTTAAATATGGATTTGTGATCCAAATTTTTTTGTAATCCATGATCTAACATAGTGGTCTTAAATATAAAAAAATAGAAGGTGCAGTTTGTATAGAGCCGAGGCTCTAAACAATCAAATTAGAGCCCACCTTCAAGTAGTGTGAGAAATATGGTTTCAAATTGAAAAGTTTTGTGATACCCTTAAATTATATTTTCATCTTTTGTTATAAAATTTAAAGCTTCAAAAATAGTATAGATCGAGCAGATCTATGAAAATCTTGAAAATTCACGGTAAAAAATTGCATTACAAGATGCACTATTTTCAAAACTCGAAATCCATTTTTTTATCATGTCCATACATTTTGATGTGGAAATGATCAATTTGATGATATTTGCGCATCAAAATAACATATTCTAGTGAGAAGTTTTGAGGTAGGCTCTAATTTGATTGTTTATAGCCTAAGCTCTATATATAATAAATTCTACCGTTCAAAATTACCTTTTTTAAAAAATTTGGATTATATTAGGTTGCTCACACTATGGAGTAATTGATCAATGTACTCAACAATTTTGCCTATGAGGCATTTTTTATAGGAAAAAGTTTATATGGAGCCGTGTAACAATCCTAAAATTTCAAAAAAAAAAAAAAAAAAAAAAAAAGAAAAGAAAGAAAAGAAAAGAAGAGAGATAAGATACTTTTAAATAGGTGATGGTTCGTATGAGCATGATGGTCCTTAGGGACCATCACTATTTTCAAAAGTTTTTACCTGATTTAAGCTGTTGCTTGCTGCTTTGCCACGTCCTTTAGTGGACGTGGTTTTCATATGTTAAAAACGGACTTTTAACGCGACACCTAAGGTATGAGGTGGAGCCTAATAAAATAATATAATAATATGTTATAAGAATTTAAATAGGGGAGGTGAGGACTCCCACCATAAAAAATTTTGAGATCTCTCTCTCTGTGGTACGAAAC